TAAATTTAAACATTTTTAACTGACAGTATATTGTGCAAAATTCAATTCTAAAACTTTTTTCCTCTTCAATATTCTTTCAAAATGCATAGGTTCCAAGATATAAGTAAAAAACTCATATAAAATAGGTATTTTTTTAAATTTTTTAAACATTTTTGCAATTTTGAAAATGTTCCGGACCTCGCCCAGATCTAGGAATCTACACTTTTATTATGTGAGTTGTACTGAAGATAATCCAGAAAAAATTTACTTGCCCCCTCCCACATCCAGCTCAAAACAGATCCGCCCTGGTTTATTAGTAGAAAAGCCGGATATTATTGGCAGAGCACCCCTCGACGACCCTTGCGGGACGCCTAATATTTCACTCCGGTTTTGAATTTTTGTGTAAGAACGGTAGGAATACCACGAAATTCGAGCTTGTTCAGTTTACATATCATGTGTATGATACAATTTGGTATTGTAGACTTTGATCAGTTATCCTGCAAATATTTGACATTTGTTTCATCAATGTTTGGTGAATGACCGCAGCATCTTGACATACGAATAGAAGTGCAAGTTCAACTGTATGACCCACATTTGTGCTGCCAATTCAATAATGGCATACAAAACTGATCATAAAGTCAGTTTAAGCTTTTTTTAAATTTTTAAGTAGTATTTAACTTTACTATCAATAACCCTAGAATCTAATAATTTCAAAAATATTATTTGTTATCATTAACTTCGTAAAAGATTATTGTTTTAATAAAGGCAAGGCGAAAACTTTCTTTTAAATGCAATAACACACATGTTTGTATCCAGTTTTGAGAATCACAGATTTATTTTTATATTCGTGAAGTCCATACTAAAGTGATCAAAGATTTTTCTGTACTTCCCAAGACTGTGATCTGCTGTTAAGAGTTCAGCTCTGATTCAACATTGGGAGTGTATTGTCAAAAGAAAAAAATCATGTTTCATGAACTTATAGTTTATTGTCAACAAATAAATAATATCAGACTATATACAAGGCAGTCATTTCTGCCTTTACCAGGCGTAGGAAGCTCCAAGTCCGGTGAAGGAAGCATGAGACACAACGGCAGCTGGGGAATAAGCGACAGCGGTCTTGGATACTACAGGGGCGGCAGAGTAGGCAGACACAACTGGGGCAGCATGAGCAGCATAGGTTGAGACCACTGGAGAGTGGGCTGCGTAGGTTGAGACCACTGGAGAGTGGGCTGCGTAGGTTGAGACCACTGGAGAGTGGGCTGCGTAGGTTGAGACCACTGGAGAGTGAGCAGCATAGGTTGATACAACTGGGCCATGAGCAGCGTAAGTTGACACCACTGGAGCGTGAGCCACAGCTGGGGCAGCGTATTGGGTAAATACTGGGGCAACAGCCTTAGTTACCACAGGGGCAGCATGGGCTACAGCAAGAGGGGCAGCGTACCTAAGACCATCGTTGGTGATACGGGTGTCGAATTTCCTCACGCTGGAAAAGGCACTGTCCACGGCTTTGGAGTAGTGAGATACAGACTGGGCGCCTCCTAGTGAGCGTTCTACGCTTTGGTGGGAAGCGCCGATAGCTGGGGCGTGAACTGCGACTGGAGCAGCTGCGTAAGTGGAGACTACAGGGGCGGCATGGGCCAAAGCGACTGGGGCTGAAGCTTGTTGGAAGTACGAGGTGCTCACGGCTGGAGCTGCAGAATACGTTGCGACAGCTGGGGCGCCGATGATGCCAGCGTTGGCGTAGGCGAGAACAGCTGCGAGTACGACGAACTGAAAAAAAAAGAGTATTTTAACTAATTGTAAAACTAAAGACAATGCCGTATGACATTATTTATCTCTGAAATTAACTAAATAAGTAAAATTCAAAATCCAAGAGTTAATAAGAAAGTACTTATATTAAAAAATATATGAAGTTACAAATGATGGCATACAAATTATTTTTCAATTATTAGAACTATTTGTATAAACTATTCTGCAATATAAATTGACAATATTTTAGATACTTTGCAGTTTCCAGTAATGTTAATTAAGGCTATGTAGCCATATTTCTTTAACAAGAAAAAATGATTGAGTAATTTTAATGTGCAGTACTTACTTTGAAAGCCATTGTAGTATGTTGATCTTTAGTTTGTGAGAAACTGATGCATTGCCGTACAATTGGGCGAATTTTATAGTTGCCAAATTGCGTAAAGGAGCCTCAGGTGTGATCCACTTTCATTGTCAATGAAGGTCTCGGTTAGGGCGGCTCCGGCTCCTCCACGTCTCTTGTGCTCGTTTCAGACACGGGCCCACATATTTTTCATAATCGACACGTTATGGTATAATCACAGCCCATGCTAATAGACCTGATTATAAAACACTTCGGTATGAATGGCATAATCGTATTTGATTAGGACTTGATGGATTGCTACACCATCAGATTATTTTTATTTCAGCAAAATAGTCTGTACCTGTGCGAAGATAATCGATTGGGATCCCCATAAATTCGTACACTTCGAAAAGAAATGTGGAATATCTTTAGCTGTTTCGTGCCGACAATTTATTCGACAATACATGAATTTATTGATGAACTTTTTCGTGGGTTTATTCACAAGAAAGTTTTGTTTGTAGTGAAAAAATGTATGTATTCCTTTGAACCCTAGGTAGGTATATATTTTTAGGAATAACCAATACAAAGGTAAATACTTTTTGTGTTATCTAAAATCTAAAGTAGCTAAAAAGCCAGCCATACAGGGACGGATGATTTATATAACAACAGTATATATTTACTTAAAACAATTGAACATCAAAGCATAACACAGCCCCACAAAAAAAAAATGAAATTATTTTCTCCGATATCTGAGGAGGTGCACTTTATGTTTTTGGGGTTGCTGAATCCGAATCCGGGGTCCGTTTAACCCCATCACGTCAGGGTCAAGGGCATCTGAAGGTCAAATTGCGGAATGACTATTAAAAAATCTGGAAAAAATTATATATATATGTTTTCGGAGTCGCTAAATCTGAATCTGAGGTTCTCTTGACCTTGAAGTGTCAGAATCAAGGTCAAATAAAGGTCAAATCCCTAAAATTTGATGATATGATATTTTTGACCCCGGATTCCGAAACAGCAGAAAATTTTACATCCGAATACGTATTTACCACAAACATAACAGAAATGATATGGGGTTTTTGGATTGTCATGCTCATGTCTATGGGTTCTACTACTTGTAGCTTTATACTCTGGTGAGACCTCAACAGAGCCGCGGTCACATCGTAGGACAAAAACTCAAGAGGGCAAAAAAAACATTGGCGTACCACTTTTCTCTTTAAAAATATTAAAGTCAGGGCTCGTACGCACGCCAATGTTCGAGCTAAAAATTATGTTTGTATCTATTGAAAAACTATCACTAAAATATCTCAAGCTGTTTCGAAAATATCAATTAATTTCCTTCTTTTTAATTTCTGTTTCTTCTTCTTCGTTTAAATTTTATCACCCTGTATTTTCGCAACGGAACATTTTTGGACCAGCGTTTATAAAGCAAACTATCATTAACTTTCCATGTAGCATATCATTAAGGAACACCCTGTATACATTAGCTACAAAACCCTTTGTATTCTACAACGTAACAAATGTTCAGTTCTCCCTAATTTTTCATTTTTTCCGGAAATTTTCTAGAACCCAAGATGAGCCGCTTGGTATATTGGGTCCCTCACGATCGCAAGTTAACGAACCTGGCCAGTCCGACTAAGCTCTATCCATTAAGGATTTAAATTTAAAATAATCCGACTGCTCCAGTTATGACATAAACTTATTAAGAAAACACCCTGTATATTACGAAATATTTATTGTAGGTATTTCCAAAAACAAAGACAGATTACAACAGTTGTTTTGCCCCCTTGGATAACAAGTTTGCGATTGGCCTAGATTTATGAACAACACAGGCTATTCAGGTTGTCACTTTGGCAATGCAGACAAGATTATCCAGTTCTTAATCAGATATTTTTAACCTATTTTGTACAGGTTCCGTCGATTACCTCAATGTCACTGTCTGATCGTGAGACAATAAGTACCTATAATATACGAGGTATTTTATTTATCTTTATCTCGCAAAAATATACTCGTTTTAAAAAATAATCTACTTAATGATTTAAAGCCAAACAGAAATTAGAGCAACTGACTTCTCTAGAAGGAAACATTATCTTAACCAAAATATTTATTTAATGTTTACTTATCTGAACACAAACATACCTCTAGACTCTACATAGGTATTTTTTTAAGTATAGTCTTTGTTTATGAAGTTGTTAATACAATACTTTTAATTTACCGCCTAGTACACAACTTATAACAAAAGATAAACATTTTATTTATACAAGAGGGGACAAATTAGTGTAAGAAATATAGGGTGTTTCTTTATGTTGTTCTATAAGTGTTTTGTTTATGGAAATATTTGATTTTTGCGATAAGGATTTTTTCAGTTTTTTACAAAGAATCCTGCGTAAAATTACCTTTAAACGATGATGCATTATATTTACATAAGAAATTAATTCAAGAAAAAAATGTCTGTGTAAATATCAAGTATACCATTTAGGACAAACTTTGCCACTAGATTTTACGAAGAAAATTATTGGAGAAAAGTCATATACAATGTTGCTTATAAATGCTTCGAGATACAGGGTATTGAAGTTGAAAAAAAATAATTTTCATTAATATTTTTCGACTACTCCGAGCTAATTTCGTGAAATTTCATATCCGAGGTTTTTTGGGATGAGAAATTCGAATTTATAGACGATTTCGTTATATCTTCTAGAGGGCGCCACAAGCAACCATTAGGACGCATTTAAACTGCCAAAATTTTTTTGTGCCACGGTCTATTTCGCTTTGGGCTGGAAAAATATTTTCCCCCAACTTTTCGGCTTAAAAAATGTCTACTAATATTTCTAAAGCCAACAGTTTTCAACAAAGAGGCATCTATTTTTGTAAATGTATAAAAAAAATTGTTTAAAAGTACATTGTTTAGATTGTGTTAGATCCATTAGACTGTTTTTAGACAGTATTTTTTACTCCGTCAATTCTGTTTGTAGTAAAATTGTTAAATAAACAAAATTTAAACTTGTAATTGCACTGTTTTCTTCAAAGGCACCCATATTTCTTTATAATAAACGATTGCTCCTAATTTCGTTTATCATTGTTGAAAATTACTTTTAAACGAATTTTTTATGCATTTACAAATTTAAATGCGTCCTATTGGTGGCTTGTGGCGCCCTCTAGAAGATACAACGAAATCGTGGATAAATTCGAATTTCTCATCCTAAACAACCCCCCGTGTACGAAATTTCACGAAATTAGCTCGAAATAGTCGAAAGATATTAAAGAAAATGTTATTTTTGTTTCAATTTTAACACCCTGTATATAGAAAACTTATCGTTTACGAACAATATTATATATGACTTTTCCCCATTAATCTTTATCGTAGAATATTGTAGAACATCGCAGATAACGACCCAAATTAGAAAGTGTAGGTATCTGTATCTCTTAAACGAATCGAGATATAGAGATGCGGTTTTTGCCATTCAACCTTTCCCGAAATCCAACCCGTGATTACACATTCAGGAAATACCCCCCTTAAAATTTATGGCACGTACACAATCTGACACTTGCATGACAAATAACAAAATATTTGATTTAGCTCATCTGCTTGTCTATTTTTAATTTCTGCGTGATAGAAACATACTAATCATAAAGATAAGATTAGATTAACTACTGAGAACCCAGTAACGACCAAAGTTTTATCTGCCATTTATTATCACCCCACAATTACAATCCGACAAACAAAACTCAAGTCCACATATTCAAAGGGCGTTATTTTGTGAATTATGGATTACCCGCGACCACCAGATCCAAATTATCCATCAGCCCCGACGTCAGAAATGTGCTGGATGCCAGTTCCACCAATGCAACCACCAATTCAGCCGCTGATACAACCTACACCTATGCCGCCACCCTTGCCGCCACCAATACAACCCCCAGATAATCCATGGATGCAAGATTATCCACCGCCGCCGCCGCCAGATGGGCCTTGGAACCGTCCGCCTCAAGAGTGGTCTCCCGGTTATCCTCCTCATCCCGAATGGCAGCCCCACTACGCTCCAGCTGGGGGGCCTCCGCAATGGGTACCGCCAAATTGGGGATCAGGATACCCCCCAAGTGGGCCATGGGCTCCTCCTTATTCATCAGGTAGATTTTACATTATTATTATTTGCGTTATTTTAAGATTCCATCAATAATCCAAGTGTGTCTATGTGGACAGGTACTTAAGGGCTAATTCTGCTAGTAAGAATTCTCTCACATAAAATTTGATCAGAACTAACCAGTGGCGTCGGGATTAAAGGTAGGACCTCTCAAACTTGTCTATAGCACGCCAAAAGTCGATAAATTTTTAAAATCAAATAGAAATTTGTATAAAGAGGTAGTAGGTTATATCTTTTCTACATCCAGAATTCTAATGTTATTCATATCAAGTCTATTACAATTTATCAACAATCGTATAACGGAATAGAGGATAATGCAGGAAAATTTTATTTTTGAAGCAATATTTGGCATCATTATGAAAATTTAAAAAGTGTCTAAGCTAACTGATATAAAATAAGTTAATATATATTTCATTTTTGCAAAATTATTGAACCTTCATATTTTTTAGCTTGGAATTCCTAACATATAGGCCTTTTCATCAATACTTTTTTAATGCGTATGCGTCAATATCGGTCATCTTTTTGTACTTTTTTTTTTGTAAACGTATATTCACTTTTAATTAATTATCTAACACATCATACATTAATTTTTTCATATTAATACATCAATATATACGATCATATAATAAAGAATTTCATGTTTTGCCTCAAATGTCATCGTCCGTGTAACATAATAAATGCCCGATAAGTATGAGATCCGGTGCTATGCTCAGAAGGCGAGTTTAACTGAAACTGAATTACAATAATTATTCATTTTAATTGTATTTAATTTTAATTATTGTTTGCATAGTAGGAATACGGATGCCTAACCTCTCAATCAATTCTCAGTACGAAACTTGAATTCCGTTGAATATCCTACTTGGCAACAGTGCATCGTCGTTACAACCTCGGCGGTGTTTAAAATTTAAATATCTAAACTTGAGAATTATATCGAATTTTGTCTGCATTCTGGGTTTATCATAATATTAATGTTATTTGAAATAAATATAAGCTGAAAAAAAGTCGTACCTATAATCAGGGATCGAAACCGCTACCTTCGGTGTGAAAGGACGACGCGCAATGCTTTGCACCACGAAAGCCATTGTACTTAATCATTCAAGTTAGAGCTTATAATATAGAACCAGCTTTTTAATTGTTCACAATAGAGTTGTTGACTAAATTTCAAAAAGTAGATAATATAATTCTACACATACTAACTAGTTTGTATACACAGTTAGAGATTGAGAAATGCGTCAGAACAGTTTTAAAATAATTATTTAAAACTGATTTTTTTTTTATAACATTTCAAAGCGGTTGTGACGTCATAAGGGGCACCTTGTAGTGAAATTATGTGTAAATGATTGCGTAAGGAAAAAAAAAATGGAAGAAGACTGTCAGTAGTGTCAGTCTGTCAGTGACACTGTCGTATACAATATTTTCAAGTCTGAGTTATTTTCCTTAATCTTCAAATTCCTTTATTAAAAGTAAAATTATTATTCAGAAATAATAACTTTACCGAAAATTGATTTTTTTATGATCGTGAATTGAATTTTTAAAAAGAGACGAGCGTTTTAATATTTGCGAAGTCAGAGGTATAAAAGCAGTCAGGTAAGGATTAACATAGGTAGGTATTTAATGAATGATTTTATTGTATTTATTTATATAACCCACTAAACACGAAACGTAAATGAAACGTTGCAAATGAGATGTTTTACTAAACATTTGAAACATTAACTAGAAACATTTCTGTTTCATTACAGAAATGTAGCACTTGAAAACTTATTTAGTGAAACATAGCCGAAACGTTACAATTAAAGAGAGTTTGAAACATTACTCGAAACATTCCCTTTCGATCTCGGAAACATAACAGACGAACAACCCTTTGCTATTTTTGCTTATCTTATGGAATATTCGGCATTAGTAAAATTTTGCCTCAATCCCCAATCCCTCTCAAGCGTTTGTTCATTTGCCTTTGTTATACAAAGACATAATTAGAAAAAAAAATGTAGTAGCATATTATAACACAAGTCTAGAAAAAATGTATGTTCGTGACTTGCGTAGACTGCGCGTAACAGCCCGAGTTTATTTGTTTCCCGTGTGTCGTTTCAATTCGTTTCGTATTATGTTAGGTTAGGTTTGCGAATTGCCGGTTTGCTTGGTTTGATTGTTCTTCATCTTTATTTTGACTCTATTTTATGTGATAATTTGTAGTGTGTGCAGTTGTGGTTATTGTAAAGGTGCATATAAATAATGAATTGTTATGCAAAATGTTTAAAACGATATGTGTAGAGAGATTTCCAATTTTGCGTCACATCTACCTAAATATGTATAGTTAGTTATACCGACTACCTATTAAAGTATTGGAGACAAGAGGACAAGGGACAAGAACTAAGAAAATGGACCAACAGCTATACGTTTCGATATAATTTGAA